AACCATGCTTCTCCAGGGTATTTACATAAAAATAGCTTTGCTTAGCTTTAGTGTGGACTTAAATGTGGCTGCCAAGCAGGAGAGAACTTAAGGAACAAGACTTGGAATATGGGACAATATTCCTGGTATCCTCAACCAGGATTCCCCAGGAATATTCCTGGTACCCTCAGAAGCAGCTTCCATGTCTTAGTCTTAAAATTCCCAAGGATAGAACATTCCACCATTATTTCTACCACAGTCTTTTAGAATTTAAATGTAAGGCTTCCTGAGTGCTGTTTAGAGTCTCTTCTAACAGTTTCATAGAAAGCAATCAATAAATTTAGCTTCTATTCATACATACATTGTCCCCACCATACACACACACTCCTACACTGTGTGTTCTGGAAGTGTGGGGACTATGTCTTTTAAGTCATGTGTGTTTTCTTCCTCTTCCACACACTTAGTGTAAAATTGACATACATTAGATACTCAAAATGTTTTTACTTAAATAGAGAATTTAAGGGCCCACAAGTGGGAGGATGGAGGCTGTGTATGCCTCTGATGCTATGGGCACAGTTCACCAGAGAAGGGCTTAAGGCCAATCAAAGGTGAGCTTGCATGAAAGACAAAGGAAGACAAAGCAGGTGTTAGGCCTACAGGGAAACAAGAGCACTGAAGCTAACACCAGGGAAGTGCCCAACAGAAGGCAGGTGGAACCAGAAGGGGAAGTGAGGAAGACACTAAGATGAGCTCAGGCCCTAGTGGCCAGCTTGGATTGGTCCAATGTTGATCAAATGGACCCAGGCTTAATATCTTGGTCCTACTTAAAATACTTGGGTGACACCTTCAGTTTCCTGGATAAAGTCTAAGCTCCTTTGCCAGGCATTCACAATCAGGCCCCACCCATCTTTTCACCTTAATTTTCACCAAGTCTTCCATCATAAGCCCTGGGCCTCAGCCACACCTAAGGACTCATCACTTCTCCGTCTCCTCCTTCCAGTCCTCCTGAGCCATTCTTGCTGCCCAGAATACGGGCTACTACCTTCCCTGCCTGGAAAACTACTACTTTTTCTTCAACATCTAGATTAAATGTTCTTTCCTTTGTGAAACTCCCTCCACTGGCTCCCACCTCTGGGCTGTCATGGTGCTTATCCACAGTGCTACCACACTGCTCCTCACATTGGGTCATCAACATCCAAAAGAACCAATGATCATCCACAAATTTGTTCAAGGTTTTGCACTCAATCAGCACCTTCTTTGTATCAGGACTACTACAGGCCGATACAATGGTGACACAAAGATGAACAACGGATGTGCTCAAAAAGCAGAGTGCCCAAAATCATATTGAAAAAAAGGAACCAGGTTTGGTGGTCCAATAGAGCCTAGTGGAACCCCTGAGACTATGACCCCTAGCTGTCCTTCAGGTCTGGAATTGAACCCACTCTTGTGGCTTGCAGCCAAACAAAAGACAGGCATATGAAGTGAATATTTACATTAGATAGACACACTCCTTGGAAAGATCAATCATGGGAGAATAGAAGGAATGTGTATGCACAAGGAGACAGCTCAGGGGGCAGGAGTACATGGGAGGGAAGGACACAGGGAAGAGGTAACTAAGGAGAGGAAGTGGGAGGGGAGTGTTGCATTGTGGGATATTGCAGTCAATATCATGAGACAAAGCGTATGTGAACTATTGTGTGGAAAATGAATTTGCTCTGTAAACTTCCACCCATATCACAATAAAAAATTAAAAACAACAAAAAAAGAAAAGCACAGAGTCCCAATACATAAACATATAATTACATTGCCAGGTAATAATGTCTCTAATTGAGACACATACAGGCCACAGAGAGGCAGCTTGGGAAAAGAGCACACACTGACTAAAGCCATAATGCCCACCATGTGATTCTTCTACTTAAAGCCCTCCCTTAACATTCCTTTTGTTTTCTCTGAAAAAAACAAAACCAAACTCACTGCCCTCAACTCGGTTCCTACTCATAGCAACCACTCCTTGGGTTTCCAAGGCGGTATCTCTACAGAAGTAGATTGCTCCATCGTCCTTCCTAGGATTGGCTAGTGGGTTTGAACTGCCAGCCCTCTAGCTAGCACTCAAATGCCTTAGGCACTATGCCACCAGAGCTCCCTTAGCTTTCCCTAGGTGATGCAAAGTGTTAAGCAGTGGGCTACAAACAAAAAAAGACTTGTGGTTTGAATCCACCCAGAGATGCCTTTTGTTTGGAAGAAAGGCCTAGCAATCTATTTTTGAAAGATTATTGAAAACTGTGTGGAGGGCTGTTGTACTCTGACACACATGGGGTCACCATGAGTCAGAGAATAAACTCCACGGCAACTGGCTTTTTTTTTTTTTTTTTTTTTTACCTCCCTACAGAATGTTTTATATTTATATGCTTTTACATGTTTTTGTGTTTATTTGTCTGATTAATGTTTCTCCTACTCATTTCTCAGCTCCAAGGAAGCTTGGTTTTATTCTTCATTCTATTTCCAGCTGTTCTGGTTGGCTAGTGCTGTTCTGACACAAATATGCCACAAATGGGATGGCCTTAGCAAACAGGCATTTATTCTCTTACAGTTTGGAGGCTTTAAGTCCAAGTTCAAAGTGCCAGGCTCTAGGGGCTGGGTAAAAGCCCCTCAGCCTTGGGCTTTGGCTCTGCCTCCAGCTCCCAGCCCACTGGAGCTAGAGGCTTTTCTTCACTCAGACAACTGCTAGCTGCTGAGGCTGCCAAGCCCAAGGTTGACAAGTAACAAGGCACAGTCCCGATATTACCAAATCACACGACAGTCCATTAATTCAAATCCACTGTAAGTCCCAAGGTCGGCAGAGCATGGCAGGCTGCTGAACAATGACACTGCTACATGCAGGGTTCAAGGTGCCAAAAGCTAGAGACCATTCCCAAGGCTTCTGCTTATATACAGGAAGCAGACCACAGTCCCTAAGGCAGCTACTCAGCTGCTCCCAGTAGATTCCATTATGGAGTTGATTACTAGTCTCATCATGGGGAATACTATATCCAGCTGCTTAGCCACTCAACCAGGCCCAGCCAAGGTGACACACAAACTGAACTACCATACCTGCTCCTAGAGTAGGAATGAAATAAAAGTTTGTGGAAGGGTATTGAAGTCAAATGAGCCAGGTTTTATCTTGAACTCAAACATTTACAGCCTGTTTGACCTCTGGTAGCACAGTGCCAAGGCATGTGACTGCTAACCAGAAGGCTGGTGGTTCAAACCCACCAGCCACTCTGCAGAAACAAGACTGGGTAATCTACCTCTGTAAAGATTCACTGCCTAGCAAACCCAGTAGGGGTTGCTATGAGTCAGAATTGACTGGATGGTAGTGGGTTTGGCTTTTTGTGACCTATTTCACTTCTAGCTCCTATTTAGGAGCTCTGGTGGCACTGTGCTTACGTGCTTAGCTGCTAACTAAAAGATCAGTAGTTTGAACCCACCAGCCGCTCTGCATGAGAAAGATATGACAGTCTGCTTCTGTAAAGATTGTTGTTGTTGTTGTTGTTATTTGCCGTCGAGTCGACCCCGACTCATAGCGACCCCTCCTTGGGTTTCCAAGGCAGTATCACTACGGAAGTAGGATTGCCCGACCTTCCTTCCGAGGAGTGGCTGGTGGGTTTGAACCGCCAGCCTTCTGGTTAGCAGTCAAGTGCCTTAGGCACTATGCTACCAGAGCTCCCTCTGTAAAGATTACAGCTTTGGAAACACTATGGGGCAGTTCTACTCTGTCTTACAAGGTCACAATGAATTGGAATACACTCTGGCAGTGGGTTTAAGTAGCTCCAGTTTCCTCACTTATCAAGTGGGCTTAAGAATGCTGGCCTTGTAAGGTTGTTCTGAGCGTGAAGACATACTGTTCTTAAAAGTCCTGGCCCCATGATTGGATTCAATACTTATTGGGTGAGTGCTGAGTGACTGTGCAAAAGAGGAAGAGAGCTAGCAACCCAGTCCTGTTCTGAGCCCTGATACCCTGGGCTGCTTTAGCATGAGCCCTGACCACAAATTTTTTATGACATGTAGTGAGATTGGCTTTGGGCCCTGAGGATGAGTGTTAGTTTCAACCACAAACTCTCAGCTGAGTTCCAGCCCAATATTTCCAGATGTAAGAAGTCACTTGAACTCAAAGTTTCCACTGGAAACTCAAATGCCACACGTCCTGCACAAACTCATTGCATCCCCCTCGGATCCTCCTTGATCCTCACACTGCAAAGCCAGCAGATATCTAATGGAGCTGATTAATCAGTTGAATGATTGATTCATTGTGAAGTAACAATCAGAAAAATCACAAGACTTGAACTAGAACTAAAATTGTGGTTAGCCCAAGGTATTGTCCATGGACAGGGACAGAGGAGGAGGGATGGTTTCTTCCTGGGGTTCTCTCGGTTGTTTCTAGAGGCTCTGGAGCAGACAGACTGGGGGAGAAATTGTGGCCAGCCTTCCAAGAAGAACTTGCCAACTTACCCACATCACTTGCATTAAACACTGCACAGAGGAACATGCTGGGGCCTTGTACTAGTTTACTATTGCTGCTATTAGCAATTATCACAAACTTAATGGTTTAAAACAACACAAATTTATTATTCACAGCTCTGGAAGTCAGAGTTTCACTGGGCTAAAATCAAAGTGTCATCAGGGTTGTTGTGTTCCTTCTGGAGGCTCTAGGGGAGAATTAATTTCCTTGCCGTTTTTAGCTTCTGAAAACTACCCACATTCATTGTTACATGTCCTCTTCCTCCATCTTCAAAGCTAGCAGCATCTTCCAATCTCTCTCTGATCCTCTGCCTCCTTCTTATAAAGACATTTGTGATTATGTGGCCCACCCAGGTAATACAGGATAATCTCTCCGTGTCAAGATCTTTAACTTACCACATCTGCAAAGTCTTTTCTGCCGTGTAAGGTCGTATTTTTACAGGTTCTAGGGATTAGAACATGGACTTCGTTGAGCCCATTATTCTGCCTACCACAGGCTCTGAGCAGGGTGAGCTTGATTTGCAGGCACCAAGCCGGAACTCAGCCTCCTGCTCCCTATCGACTTTGTTCAAAGTAGAACTCAGTGCGAGCTGAGGGATCACTCTCCTTGGCTAGCCTCACTGGCTGTTGGGACTCTGCTGGGCCACAGAGAAACCAGCCAGGCCAGGCAGCAGCCTCCAGCCTGAAGGCAGAGCCCATGCTGCTCTGGAAGAAGGTGAACCGTGTGGCCTGCTCACCGCCCTTGTACAGATCCTCGATGCTCACGTCCTGTGGGGGCAAGGCATTCAGCTGCAGGTTGAGGTTACCAATTGAGGTGTCAGCCCTAGCCACCTCCAGGGCTTGGCCTGAAAAAACTTGGCTGAGTAGGCCTTATGGAGAAAACTGCCTTCTGCAGCTTCTGCAGGTCAAGGGTCTTGGTACTGGGGGCAGAGGCAGATGGTGGAAACCTGAGATAGGGGGATATGTGGATTCCTAGGGAATCCATAGATGGGCACAGAGATGCCAGGATATCCTGAAGGCCGAGTCAAGCCTGTAGGGTTCCCCAGAATGTGTAGGGCTCTCTCACCTCCAGCTGCAGGGAAGGCCCCTCTTCTGTTTCCACACATGCCAGGCAACGACTCCCTCCCTGGATCCCCAGGAGTATGGGGACCTTGGTGCGGTCCAGGGCTCTGTTGGGAAGTACGCAGATTTTCTCTGGGAGGGAAGAGAGAAAAGAACAAGGAAATAAGGGGACCTCAGGTTTCAGGCTTCAGACAAGTAAGTAAAGGGTTAGGCAGGAAGGAGCTGGACCTACTACATCTGCTCTGGTCCCTGCATGCAGACTGCAGGGTGACCTGGGATTCCTGATGGGGTTGAGATTCCTTCTAGGCAAGGCCTCACTGGAGACAGCCATGACCCTCTGGTGGGGACTGGAGGGAGGAGGAGGAGCATAGGGCCTACGGTAGATAGAGGATAGGGTAAGTCCCAGGGGCTTGAGTCCCAGCACACCAGCTCACCAGCACAACAGTTGTCTGCATCGGGGTCTCCCACCAGGAGCTGGCCATCCCTCATGTATAGCGTCTTCTGATCTGCATCCTTAATTCTGGAACAGTATGGTAGTGCTGATGGTCTGCACCCAAATCCCTTCCATTCCCATGCTCTGAATTACCAGACTGAGCACTGGTGAATTCTTCTCCATTTTTCAGATGAGAAATAAGGGCACTACTCCGCCCAACAGCACATAAAGACCAGGTGAGTCTTAAAGCAAGGGGAGGCCTTCTGGGCTTGTGATTTTGAGTGACTGAGCTTCCTGCCTTCACCCAACTTAGGCACCATTGGGGCCCTTGGAGGAGTGAGGGGAGCTAATGTCTTCTTATGGGTGGGAAAGTGGGTTTTCTGGCCAGTCCAAGTGCTTTTTCATCCCTTCCTGAGTAATTTCCCAATGATGTTCAGGTGTCTCTGGGAGCCTCATCCCAGATTTTCTGAGCCTGACTCAATTTTTCATAGATGTTCATTCTGTTCTATAGGAGTCTTCCTGATGGCACAAATGGTTAACCAAAAGGCTGATGGTTCAAACCCACCCAGAGGTACCTCAGAAGATAGGCTTGGTGACCTGCTTCTGAAAGGTCACAGCCTTGAAAACCCTATGAAGCAATTCTACTCTGCACACATGGGCTCACCATGAGTAGGGGCCAACTTGTTGAGAATGAGTTTGGTTTTCTTGTTTTTTGTTTTTCTTCAATAAAGAGATTATTTTCCTGTATATTGAAAAGTGATTTTCTTTTCAGATACTTTAAAGACTTTTTATAGATTAAAAAAAAAAAAAAAAACTGTTACATGAAGTATGCCAACATGACTACTCCAGCTTTGGGCCTGCGTAAGGTGTGTTCTTGGAAGGAAGGTTGGGCAACCTACTTCTGTAGTGATACTGCCTCAGAAACCCAAGGAGGAGTCACTATGAGTCAGGTCCAACTCAATGGCACACATCACCACCACCAACAACAAGGTGTGCTCTGAGGAGGGACCTATATTACTGGTGCTAAATGCAGGAGGTCAGCAGAGAGCTAGAGCACTGCCTGATTATAGTCGTTATGGTTGGCTGTGGTTGTAATGATCAGTTGGAAGGGTAAATATGTGCTAATGAGGTGGGGGAGAAACCATGGTAAGTGGGTGGAACATCAAAGTCACGCAGCTCATTAGCTCAGTTGTCTGGCTGGTCTCAAAGATGTCTGTCAGTCATTGTCAGGGCCTGGAGAGCCCTTATTACCTTCAAGGACAGAATGTCTGGGCAAACATTGCTGCCTCTAGGAGATTTCTCTCCCAATAACAGCTAATTATAATACTTTTAGCTAATGACCGTATGTGTTTAAAGCAGGTGCACTTTCCAATACAAATAAAGATCTTAAAAGATCCTGGGTTTGCCACCTGGCAATTTTTGTCAAACCTTGACAACCAGAAACTCATCTGTCAGAAACAGGTAATTGTAACATGCTAGCAATATTCTATTTGGAGAACAGAACCCAAGCAATGTGCTCCAAAGCAGTGACATCTGTTTTGTCATCTGTGTGTTTTGTGCATGTGTGTGCTGCTTTCCCAGCCAGATTGGTGATCCTGACTATCCTCCCATGTCTACAGCAGGACTGGGTCCCACGTAGAGGCTGAGGAAATGCATCCCAAGAATCAATCTTATTTTATTTTTATTATGTCTCATCTTATTCCTCAGAAAGCCTGAGTTAGTTTACAACAAAATTACAGACAATAACAAGGTAAAATATAAGAATACAGATCTTGAATGAGAGTTGGAAGCCCAGACTAGGAATAAAGGTCACAGAGGTCAACATATAAAGTTACTGTCATTGAAATTCAGTTGTTGGTGGGCTGCTAGAAAGAGGCCGATGGAGCACCACATTGTTGTTGTTATGTGCCATTGACATAGCGACCCCTCCTTGGGTTTCTGAGGCAATATCACTATGGAAGTAGATTGCCCAACTTTCCCTCAGAGGAGTGGCTGGTGGGTTAGGCACTATGCTACCAGAGCTCCTATGGAGCACCACAGGGAGTGTGAAATCTGATCCCTGCTATGCCTTTTGGTATCAGGGAATTTATTTACCCTCTCTGTACCTCAGTTTGTAGGTATGCAAAACATGTTAGTGAACTTCCTGCTGTAGATTTCTTAGGATGATGGTGAGGCTTTTGACAGGCACTCAGGAAAGAGAGCTATTGTTGTTGTGATGATGATTAAATTTAATTATGAGGTACTTAAGATTTCTAAGGTGAAAAGGAGCCTCAACCATCTGACTCAGCCTTCCTTTTCCCCATGTGAACCCAAACTCCCTGATTAGGAATGAGGGGAATTACAGGAAGACTTACATGTAGTATCTTGCCATGGGAAGGGAGCACATTTCTGTGATCCAAGTGTTCGGTTCTTGCTGTGGGGAAAGGAGAAAAGACCTGTTAGAGAAGTAGGGAAGTGGAGCTTGCTACAGGCTCCAGAATCACCCAGTCATAGGAGAAAGGTTTATGAGGTCACTTGTCTACAATGTGCTTCTCAGAATCCACCAAGGTCTCCCTTGTTCAACAGCTCCAGGCAGCTCTGCCTCTCCTTCATTTGGGGCCATTGAGAACAAGTCAAACTGGCCTGATGATGGTATGTACTGATACCAGCTCTGGAAAACTGGAGAACGGGTTTCTCTAAGTGCCAAGAACACTTCCCAGGCTGGAGAATGGGGTGGAGTGTGCTCCAGTCTGAGGATGAAACTCAGCCCCAAAACCAGACCTGACTTTCCAATCTGGCCCTAGGTTTACTGTTCTCCTGCCTACCTCCCCAGTAGATGGTTAGGTACTCTGAGCTCAGCTGAGGGATGAGCAACCTGGTTAGAAGGAATCACCAGCTTCTAGGGTCTCCTCGGAGAGTTAGAAAGTGTTATTCTTCAGAGCAGGGTGATGGCATCCTCCCTTGATCAGTGTCAGCTCAATGTGCCAGCAGAAATTCAATGCTGGGCAAGTCAAGTTGGTCCCCTGGGGCCTAGAAGATTTTGTCTTGGGAAAGCCCAAAATCTCAGTGTCTAACTTATATCATATCAGGCACTCCCCTGTCTGGGTTCTAGCTAGATAGTGATGGAATGAGAAGGAGTGAACAATGGGCTTCTAGTCCATCAGAGAACCTGGGTTCCTGATGCTGACCCTCTGACAAGACCTCTCCCTTTTGACAGATTCCTATTCCTTCCCTATTGTTTCCAAACTAACTTTCACAGGCCTTTGGCACATACCCCTCATTCTTTCCTCTCTCCACTCCCTAGACATTTCCTCTGGCTGTCTCAGACCTTATCAGCTCATCTGTCCTGGACCAAATACCCTCACCAAATAGCTCTTAACCTTCTCAATTTCATTTCTTTCATTGCTTTAATGTTCCTCTAGTCAGTGAGATTGAAAACTTGAAAATCATTGACAATTTCTGCCACTTGTCCTGACTTGATTTATCAACAAGCCCTGGTAGATTGTTCCTTTGAAACATAACTCTGATTTCTTATTCACAATTATAACTGTGTCTGTCTGTATTCCTGATTTTTCTACTTTCAATCAACCTATGTAAGGCAGCTGGACTGACATTCTAAGTATTGCTTTTACCATATTACCACCCAGCTCTAGGATCTTCAGTGGTTGGCCATTCGTCACTGTCTGGCTCTGGTTTACTGGTCTGATAGTATCTTACGTCTCTGCTGACCCTAAACCACCCCTCCAGGCAGCATGACTTCTTTCTTATCTTCTCACTGGGCATAGCCAGCATTGCCTCTGATCCCCCTGCCTCAAAAGTTATCCCTCCTCATCACCATCCAATTAGATCTTTTGATATTAAGGTTATTGGGCATGGTATCAGTATCTACTTCTGTCAAGTTAATTACCAGCTCAGACAGAGATACAGGATTATCTCACCTAAATCCTATCTTCAGTTTCAACCTCTATAAAATCATGAGATTAGATTACATGGATTAGATTAAAGTGCTTTTCAGATCAAAATATCTATGATTTCATGACTCAGGGTTTAATGAAGATTTCTCCTACTATCTCAACCCTACTCTGAACTCATATGAAATTTCACCTTGCTGTTTATTGGTCTACATAAATACGTTTGTTTCCTTTACAGAAGTTAACAAGATTTTGAAGTCATGAAGCATGGCTTGTAGCTCACATGTAGGTCTCCCCAACTACCATAACTGACACACATTGGTGCTTACAAGCAGGACATAGAAACACACATAGTAGACTTTGAATAACAAGCCTAGGTCGTGGTTCTACTTCTGCTCCTAATTTGTCTTGCTGACTCCCTGAATCTCCAATTTATTGTAAGTGGAATGAAAAGCTGGGCAAGATAAATATCTTTCAAAAAATTTTTTAGGTTTCGCAATACATTTTACAGAGAAACTTAATACATAAAATGGATAAAGATGACCAACTTTTGGTGAACAGGAAGTGATGGAGAACCCTACCAGCTAGCATTTTCCTTGTCCACTGGGGCATTTATAAGGATCTCCCAAATTTCACCAAATACTAGTTGAATACTATTGGCACAGGTAAATTCTACTGAGATTACTTTCTAAAATCTATTTGTTGTTGTTGTTGTGTGCCATCGAGTCAGACCCGACTCATCACGACCCCTCCTTGGGTTTCCGAGGCAGTATCACTACGGAAGTATCCTTCTTTCCGAGGAGTGGTTGGTGGGTTTGAACCGCCAGCCTTCTGGTTAGCAGTCAAGTGCCTTAAGCACTATGCTACCAGAGCTCCTATCTAAAATCTATAGCCTTAAATATTAAAACATATTTATTTGATTTAACTTAGGCCTTTTCATCAAATCTTTTTTATGTACCCCCCAACTTACTTATCATTCCATAGTTTACCATGGAAGGAATATCTGGATATCTATAAAATTTACCAGAAGGAGGGAAAGAGTCAGTGTGTGTCATATCAGAGATATTGACAAAAGGGAGAAGGAAAGAGATAGAGAGAGCACTGCTTGACCACCACTGACCTGCAGAGCCCGGGTCTCTGGAGCCCTGGTACCTGAAGTCTCCAACTGATTTCTCCAGAGCACCTACACTGAGTTTATACTATTGGGTCAGGGTGGGTCAGGCCTGCAGCAATCTCTATAATTGGCTCCAGGATGGGGAAGAAAAGCTTAAGCCTTTCACAATGTCTTTGGCACAGTATAGATAATAAGAAGGTAAGGACATTAATGAATGTTTGTTGAAGGGGGAGAGAGCCATCCATAAAGCCTTGACTAAGGCCAGGCACTGTGCCCTTGCTCTGTAGCTACTGTCATTGACAGTTATTGGTGGTTTCAGCAGCCAGATAAACAGTGCTGGGGTCACATGTCTTCATATCTTCCCTTTTGTGTTTCATGAGACGTCATCTCATGAAGGCTTGAGAAGTGGAAGAGGCAAGGGATAAAGAATATTTGAGGGGTTCGAGTATAAAACAATCTCTGATTCCTAAAGCCCAACTGTGGCCATCGAGGCAGAGTAAGAGCAGAGGCCAATAGAATTTTGAGTGTGGCCCTGTTCTGAAATATGAAAGGGAAGTCTCTGCTTTTCAAGAAGTTTTATTAGTCAGTACCAGTGTGATGAGACAGAACATCTAAGGAAACACAGCTTCAGAGGGCACTGACCCAGTCCCCAGGGACTGGTCAGGCTCTATGTGTCCTGGACTACTAAGCATAAACACTCACAGACAACAATGTAAGGCCAGGGACAAAGAGCACTCAGGTCTATAACTAACATTGCTCATCTCAGTCCACCCATCCATCCATCCATCTGTTGTACCCAGGCTATAAAGGAGATGCTCGGAAGAGAGGAATATGCCAACACACGACAATGCAAATGCACTAGGAAAGTTTATTAGCTAACTTAAATTAGGGTCTTTGCCCTTACCAGGTCAGTGGCTTAAGCAAAAGACCCCCTGCCCCGATATTCTCACAAATTTATGGAACAATATGGGGAGGGGCAGCACCAGGGCGAGAGGGTACAGATGATTGGTTGTTGCTAAGGGATTTAGGGCAGTGATCTAAGATGTTGGGGGACGTAAAGAAACCCCCCGGCTCCAAAGTTCACTTAGGAAAATATTATCTAGGGAGGATGCGGCTCAGGTATGTGGGAGACTTTCAGGAGTCGAGCAAATCTCCGATACGTGCTGAATCCGGATGGCTTTTGTGATGCGTGCTGAGTTCGGAGGAAGTTCCTTGATACATGCTGAGACTGGAGGGCAGATAAAGGCCCTAAAGAGTCCAAAAGTTCTGTTAGTAATGCTGACACTAAAAGGTTTCTGGTTAAAGATTTTCCTGGAGGCTATTAGAGCTCTCAGACTCACACATCCATCCACCCACCCATCCTTTCACAAGAGCATAGTCTTATCTAAGGACCTATGCCTTCACTATGTTTCTCCAGCCCAAGTCATTAATAAAGCCCCATAAAGGGCTTGGTGAGGAAAAGTTAGAGGTCAGTCCAAGACCCAGATTCCTACAGGATGAGAGGTCAAGAAAAATGAGCAGGAAAAGGATACAATTACCATTTTCTAATGCCAGTGTTCATTCCTCACCCCCCTTTCAAATCTCTCACCCCTCTGTGGAAAGGGTCAGAGCATAGGGTATTGTAGTAAGCAATCATCTAGTATTTATTGAGCATTTTTACACTGTTATGTTATATACAATCCTGGTCTCTGTTGTTAAGTAGTTTTATAGTCCAGCTGGGGATCAAACTTGTAATCACATGAAAAGATAATTATGAAGACTAATGTATTAATCAGGGTTCTCCAGAGAAATAGAACCAACAAGATATAGATATGCATGTATACATACATATGTATGTATATACACACACACGCACACACACACAGATTTATTTTAAGGAATTGGCTTAAGAGATTATGAGGATTGACAAGGCCAAAATCTGTAGGTCAGGCAACACTCTAGAAACTCTGGCAGTCTCCAGTCCAGTAATGGTAGGCCAGGCAATGGGTTGGCAACTCTGGCAGTATGTCTATGTTACAGCCTCAAGGCAAAGGCATCCACTGATAAACCTCAGATTTTGCTCTTAGGACCTTCAACTGATAGAATGAGGTCCATCCATATTATGGGCTAATCTGCGTTACTTAAGGACAACTGATTTAAATATCAATCATATGTAAATACTTTCATAACAATAACCAGACTAGTGTTTGACCAAATAACTGAGCACAGTAGACTAGACAAGTTGACATGTAAAATTAAATATCATAGTCCACCCCTTGTCAATTTGGCCCTGCTTAAACCATACACAGTTCCATATTTACTCTCCAGATAAAGACAATGACACATATTTCTGTTTAATATAATAAAATTATCTTGTGTACAATCAAGAAGGCACTAATTCTT